ATCATGTTTGTTGAAGAGCTAGAAAGCTGAAACTTGGTATGTAGGTCCGCGTTGACCACCCAAGATCACGAGCTATGGCGGATATATCTACGCCCATTGGGGGCGTGGCAAATCGGATAAAACTGTATCTCCTAAAGTTGTAAACCTAGAATGCTGAAATTTTGCACGTCAGCTAATGGTATGATTCTATAAAGTCTGAAGATAAATTATAAGTCTACGCCCGTTGGGGGCGTGGCAAATCGGACCTGAAGATATAGTGATTTTTTAAATTCTCCTATATTTTGGACACTATTGATGGCAGAGACCTCAAATTTTGTATATATACTCGGACTGATCACCCAAGACCAAAAAGTTTTGTCGGATATATGTCCGCCCACAGGGGGCGTGGCAAACCGCAAAAGTTTATATCTCCTAAAGTATAATAGCTAGAAGCTTCAAATTTGGATAGTTGAGTTACTGGTAGCCTCCTCTATCGATTCCCCAAAAATAATTTTTACGCCTCTTTAGGGGCGTGGCATATCGAAAAATACCCTGTAATTTTCACATTTTTTTAGGGTAAGCATTCAAACTTTGCAGTTAGGGTAACGTTATCTCTTTCTAAAAACTGACCAAAAATGAGGTGTCTACGCCCAGTTGGGGCGTGGCAAATCGGAAAAACCTGTATATTCTATAGTATTAGAACGAAACTTAACTACTAAATTGTTGATGGGATGTGAATGAGTATTCCGCAGTCGGTAACGCCCGACTGCAACGTTCTTACTTGTTTATATTCCTTATATGTATTTCTGATAACCTGTTTCTGAATTCTCAGATTTTCGGTATTTTAAACTCAATTGAAATAATGAGCACATCATGTATGTTTATTTACAAAGTATATCTGTGGCATATCACTATATATATACAATATATACTACTAATAATATATGTAGTAATAAATAGTATACACTAAATAGTATATCGGATATTCTAGCTAGTACGGTTTTCAAATTTAGTACATATACTATATTTTGAATATGTAGATCTTGTGTTTAGTATATTTGGTATGTTTAGTATATCAAGTATTTCGACTATATCTTGTTTGGGAAACATATTTAATCGCTTGAAACCAGCGCTTATTCAAGTGTATTATATTATATTAATATTAAAACATATCAATAAGAAGTCAATTTTAGATTTAAGCAAAACAGAATTCAGATAATGAAGTCACACAATTATAGGACTGTCTTCTCTTTTTCGGAAAGTAATAAGATAATTATCAGTAATTATGGAATAATCGTGCTCAGTTCCTCAACTTGGTAAAGTACATTTGATAGTCGGTGTGGTAAGGGTGCGGGCGACACCCGCTTGTTGCCTTTATGCTCATTGAGCAACGTGTGAACTTTAGGAAGTGTCTCTGCCCCGATGCAATTTTGATTTGAGGCCCGCAGGCAAAACGGCTACAGGTGAGCGACTCGGCGACTCAGGGACTCAGTGACTTGGCGACTCGGCGGAAACAGGTTGTTGGCCAGGGGCTTAGGCCGGGCCAAAGCCAGGCAACTAATTGGCGAGCGGTGCACAGAAAAGAATTGCTCGCAATTGCTCTTCTTCTTCTCCTCCTTGTTGTTGTTGTTGTTGTTGTCGTTGTTGTTGGCCCTGCAAATGCAATCAAAATATTTACAGGAGGCGCAGTCAGTCGAGTGTAAGGATATGCGAAAGGTGTGAAAGGACAATAAGCCCGCAAGCAGACAAAGTCACCGAATGGTGGTAGAGGACAGCTGAGACGACGATGCAAATGCAGTGAGCGAGTGCCCGAAAATCCAGGTACTTCAAACGCCAAAGGTAGCTGGCGTGTCCTTTGGCAAGCGGTTCGAGTGTCTTTTTGTTCCGTTGTCCTGCGTGAGATTTATGCAGCGAAAATGTAAATGCGAAAAGTCGAAATTAAGTTGTAATCCTTGTAAATTTTGTTCCTCTTGGCCAGGGCAGAAGGGGTTGACAGCTGTCAAGGAGACACAGACAGGGGCAGAGAAAGAAAGAGAGAGAGAGAGAGAGGGAGAGAGAAAGAGAAAGAGAGAAAGAGAGTGAGGAGAGTGTGACTCACACCTTTTTGATTTGTCCTTGCGAGGACTTCTCCGCACACAAAGCAACACATTTGTTTTGTAAATATTGCGTTCGTAATTAATGCGACAGAAATTTCCATATCGATAGACAATTCTCTCTCTCTCTCTCTCTGGCTTTCTGTTGATATCATTTTTCATTTTCCGTTGATAAATATACTTTTTTTGGCTCTTCCATTCAACTGTTATTCAAATTTCCATGTCAGGGCGCAGCTAGATTAATGAGCCAAAATTTGCATATGGCCAACTCGATGCGTTTTGTTGGCCATCTGTGCCTTAATTGAGGGGCACGCGATCGGGCTAGTTCGAGCAGCTGCCATATGCTGCCGCTGCTGCTTCTGCGGCTGCTCCTGGCCATCCTTGATGCCACCCCCTACCCAGTGTATATCAAGGCAATTACCACATTCCGTATGCTAATTCGTTGGCAGCCCACGCGACAGACCTAGCCACACGCGATCAAGTTTGCACGGATCTGTAGCCGCGATCTCTGTGAGGATCTACACTCTCCCTCTCTCACTCACTCCCTCACGCTCGCTGTCGCTCACTAAATTTAGACTCGCATCTGTTTAACTGTAAATTAAAATGCATTTGACGCAACTGTTCCGCCAGCTGCTGCTCTAATGCCACGCACTTAGCACTTTCCAACAAAAAGGACACCCCCACACACACACAGAGGGAGAGAGAGAAAGAGAAAGAGAGAAGGTCCTTGCCGGATCTATGTTTTTCGATAGAAAACAACACATTTTCATGCTCGACTACCGTTTTTGGCCGCAACCCAAAAATAGATTAGCCACAGCGAAAGGATATGGAACCCCGGCCAAGGATCGGGATCGGCATCGCAGCTAGACTGAGGGTCAGTTGCTGAAAGGCGCGTGCCAAGCGGGCAATGCACTAGGCAATGGGCACCAGGACACTCAGCAGGACCTTCGAATAGACAAATGCACTCGAAAGGCAGCGAGGCGTGCTCTCAAGCAGATTGCACAAGAATCAAGCGATTCTCGACTCAACATCCTGAATAACCATTACCAGAGGGAAAATCATAATTGAATATTTTCAAGAAATTCAAACATTTTCTTGAGTAAAATGATAATGATTTATTAAGATTGGGGAGCTAATATCTTAATACCTAAATAAATAAAGATATTAAAAGTTTTTTTTTTTAATTTAAACTAATTAAAAAGCAAGAGTTAGTGGCATTGAATATAAAAAAAAAAAAATAACTTTTAAGAATATTTGCTGCAAAATCTGAATAAGTAAATTTAAAAAACAAATGTTTATTGATCTAGCGAAAAAAATGAGGCCTCAATAACTAATTTCTTCCCATAAACAGAAATATTATAATTGTATATCATATGTGGAATAAAATATGAAATATGTAGTAATAAATCTATATATATAAAACAAAGTTACAACACTTATAACTCGAGATCTGCTGGACCAATTTTCATGGTTTTTGATTTGTTGGATTTGCCTCCGCCCCGATTTGGAGAGTATATCTTAAAAATATTTAAAAATTGACAAATACTTGACAATGCGTTATTTTCCCTAAAAGTTCTATAATTTCTTAGCTGTCAAATTATTTTTCTCCAAATCAGTAAGTAATGATTAACATTTATACATGAGATCATAGAACTATTTAAAATGGATGAATAAACTATTATGTGTATTTTTTAATAAAGATTGAAAAATATTACGCGTGCGTTCAAAAATGTGTATTCATTATACTAAATCATTTCAATATATGCTCATTTGTTCAATACATGTCAAACATTTGTTGTCCAATCCTGTCAAATAGTGTAACAACTATTTTTGTGTGCGTTCAGCATTTTACTATAAGATTCCTTATTGGAACTGATCCAGATTCTTCGCTGTTCTTGCAGTCAATGCGAAAATTCAATTCATGTTTTCAAATGATATCATTTGGAGCAACGGAAATAGTTAAAAATACTGCTGCAAATGGTCAACAATTTAATTCCACATTCAAAATCAAAATATTCCCTAAAAATAATTTAATTTATAATTATTAATGTATGACTTGTTAGCGATAAAATCACATTGCAAAGCTTTTACTTTCCTCAGGCTGTTAATTTAGGAAAGTTGTCCAGATTTGCAGACTTTTTAAACTATAACAAAATATGCATACCTTAATTATTGATTAATATAATATAAGCATATTCAAAGCCAAAGTGGAATATAAAAATAAATTAATTAGAATTTGTATTTTAATAAACTTTGGTTGGCAGCTGAAAAGCTCTTTGAGAAGATTCCGCTTCTAGTATTGGAAATTGATTTACTAAATAAAAAGAAGTGTACTTAAAGAATAAATAAATTAAAACTCAAAGTAGAAGATACACTAAGAGAACTTCCTAGCAGCGAAGCTGTTAGCTGAGTTACCGAACAATGAATAATATAAATCTGCATTGGAGGCCTCTTTATGGCTTTATCTGCTTTTAAATATTCACTTAATAATGGTGTAGAGTTCCTCCACTCAAGTGTGAATATATTGTAAATTAAATTTTTATTGGAATTGGATTTTGAATTTGCAGTGAATGTTTCAATCATTTTCCATTAATATTTCTGGTTGGTCTAATTTACATTTGAAAAGACGCGCCAAATTCACTGCTGCCACATCGTGGAATCCAACAAAATTAAGCTATCTGGCATCACTTTTTTATTTATAAGTGTGTCAACGCTGTGCACCACTGCCACTTCGCCGCAAACAGTAATCGATAGACTATTAAGACTTATCGTAAGTCACCACTTCTCGTCACGGCTATCGAAATGGGCAGCATAACGAATTATTAACATGACGATGTTATGTGGCAACTTATGCTGTTAAGCACAGACTCGGCCATCTGGCAAGGCCACCCAATACTCTATTGTGAACCGCAGTGCACAAGCAACACTAAAAGATTGCGAATTAAATTTTTGGCAACAGCAATAGTTAAGGGCTGCTCTTAGTGAAAATTGCGAATTTGTTCTACGTTTTAAGTGTAAAGTGTGTGCAATTAGCCAATCGCTGTGTGCATTGCAAACTCAAACATCGTGTGTCGATCGAAATATCAGCAGCAGAACTCAAACCAATCGTCGCCGTCGCCGGACCCACACTCGTGCATATTTCGCAGTCGTCGTCGTCGACACGCTATTTTAGGAATTAGGCATATAAACAATATCGAGGCATGTCCCGCTCTGAGTCAGCCTCCTGCACCAGCACCAGGACCACTAGTTCCGAGCCACCACTTTGTAAGCGACTTAAATTGGATGATGCCGGCGAAGATGGGTTGCCAGAAGCATCATCGAGCAGCGGCAGCGGCAGTGGCAGCAGTCAGCAGCAGCGACGCAAGCTCGCTGCTTGCAGCAGTAGCGGCAGCAACAACAACTACGAAAATCACGACAAAGCAAACGACGTTGACATGTTGACAGAGACAGCTATAGCTACAGCTGCCAGCGAAACAGACGTGTGCGTATCGTCGTCTACTTCTGACACGGGCGCAGCGAATACGTCAAAGCATTCTGCTGCCGGTGGCGGGGACGTTAGTACTTCGTCAGCATTGAATAAGGAAAGTAGTAACAATTGTGCGTTGTCCTCGTCCGCGGCGGAAACAAATTTACTGGATACGGCAACAATTGCGCGCACTGTCAGCTCAACAAACTCAGTTAGCTCCACCAATAGCAATTCTCACAACACCAATACTACGACTACCACTGCCTCCGCCACCACCAACAACAACAATAACAGTAATAACAGTGCAGTTATGGCTGCCAGCAACAGCAATAGTGGTGGAGACATCGATGAGTCGCTCTATTCGCGCCAACTCTATGTGCTTGGACACGATGCAATGCGTCGCATGGCCGATTCGGACATTTTGTTGTCCGGATTGGGCGGCCTAGGTCTGGAGATAGCAAAAAATGTCATTTTGGGTGGTGTTAAATCGATTACCCTCCATGACACAGCACCTTGTACGGTAAGTGGCTAAAAATCAATAAATTTACTTTGTGTTGCATCTTAATTGCCGCGCGCGCGAAACCTATGAGAAAAAAAAAAGAGTGCAGGGAACACGCAATGCAAAAAAAAGTGATCACTCATGATTCATGAATCTGCAAGAAAACAACAAAGTGAACTGGCGAACTCGCTCAACTTTTGCGAAGACCTCATTTTGTAGGTTATGTTTGCGTTTCGCCTAGTTTTTAACGCACCAATTGGGCGAAAAGTAAAAAAGAAAAAAAAGAAAGAAATTGCTTAAATTTTTTTTCATTCGTTTTTTCTTCAGCTTTTTGCTATGCCCGCTTATAGTTCTCGCCAAAAAGTGTGCGAGCGAGGTGACTAGTGTCTGCGTGCCGTCTCTAATTGTTTTTGCTCTACGCTTTGCGTGCATATTCGCTTTTGTTTTATTTTGCGAGCGGGCATGAAAAAAAATCAAAAAGATTTCAGCGGCACTAATAAAATGCTGAAAAGTTTTAAGTAAATTTTCTTTGTATTGCATTTCGCTGAAGCGCTAACTAATTTTGTCTTCCCCTAATGCGCATTATTCTGTCGGCAGGCGCCTTAGCAGACATTTATGTGCTTGGACAGCGTTGCCAGACAGCGCGCAGATTAACAACTGTTATGCACATATCGCAACAAGAGCTTTCGTATAAACAGGTCACGACAACAGCGTCGTCTCCCTTTTCTTACCTCGTCCCCTTACCGCGCCGCTTCTGTCGCATCCCCTGTCGAAAGAGTCAGCGACTTTGCACTGAATTTCACAATCTCGCGCGTTCACTGAACTCCACTCCACTCCAGTCGTTTCTCTTTACTAATACCTCTTCATCTCTTGCTCTGCAGCTCAACGACTTGGCTTCGCAGTTCTATCTAACCACGTCGGACATTGGCAAGAATCGTGCCGAAGCGTCCTGTGCCCAACTGGCCGAGCTAAACAGCTATGTGCGCACCCACTCATATACCGGTCCGCTCACGGAAGAGTTTCTCAGGCGTTTCCGTGTCATCGTCCTGACCAACTCGGATGCCATTGAACAGCAGCGTATTGGCGAGTTCGCCCATGCGAATAACATTGCTCTCATCATCGCAGAGACGCGTGGACTGTTCGCCAAGGTCTTCTGTGACTTTGGAGAGAAATTCACCATCTATGATCAGGATGGCGCGCAGCCGGTATCAACAATGATAGCCAGCATCACACACGATGCGCAGGGTGTAGTCACCTGTCTGGATGAGACTCGCCATGGCTTCAATGATGGCGACTACGTCACCTTCTCGGAGGTGCAGGGCATGCATCAGTTGAATGGCTGCCAGCCTATCAGGATCAATGTGCTGGGACCTTACACCTTCAGCATCGGGGACACCAGCAGCTTTGATGAGTATAAGTCAGGCGGCGTGGCCACACAGGTGAAGATGCCCAAGACAATTAGCTTCAAGTCCTTGGCACAGGCTGAGCAGGAGCCGGAGTTCTTGATCTCTGACTTTGGCAAGCTGGATGCACCCGCCACTCTGCATGTGGCTTTCAAGGCTCTAACTTGCTATTTGAATGGAAATCGTGGCTTGCCACGCCCCTGGAACGAGGAGGATGCGCAAAAGTTTCTGCAGCTCTGCAAGGAGTTGAAGAGCGACGTAGATGAGCAGCTGGTGCTGCAATTCGCCAAGATCTGCGCGGGCAATACTTGCCCCTTGGATGCCGCAATAGGTGGCATTGTCGCCCAGGAGGTGCTCAAGGCTTGCAGCGGCAAATTCACACCTATCTATCAGTGGTTCTACTATGATGCGCTCGAGTGTCTGCCGGCCGAGGGCGTCACCGAGGCCGACGCGCAGCCATTGGGCACGCGTTACGATGCACAGATTGCCATATTCGGAAAGAAGTTCCAGGACAAGCTGGCCGACTCGAAATGGTTCATTGTTGGCGCTGGCGCCATTGGTTGCGAGCTGCTGAAGAACTTCGGCATGCTTGGCCTGGGCGTGGGCAATGGCCAGATCTTCGTTACCGACATGGATCTCATTGAGAAATCGAATCTGAATCGCCAGTTTCTGTTCCGTCCGCACGATGTGCAGAAGCCCAAGGCACTAACAGCTGCCGATGCCATTAAACGCATGAATCCCGATGTTAAGGTCACGGCGTACGAGTTGCGTGTGGGCGCTGAAACCGAGAAGGTCTTCTCCGAGGACTTCTTTGGCAAGCTCGATGGAGTGGCCAATGCGCTGGACAATGTCGATGCACGCATTTATATGGACCGCAAGTGCATCTTCAATCGCATACCGCTGGTCGAGACGGGCACCTTGGGCACCATGGGCAACGTGCAGGTGATTGTGCCATTTGCCACCGAGTCGTACAGCTCCTCACAGGATCCCCCAGAGAAGAGCATACCCATTTGCACGCTGAAGAACTTTCCCAACGCCATTGAGCACACGCTGCAATGGGCACGCGACTCCTTTGAGGGTGTCTTCAAGCAGAGCGCAGAGAATGCTGCACAGTACATCTCCGATCCTCAGTTCACTGAGCGCATTCTGAAGCTGCCTGGCATTCAGCCACTGGAGATTCTGGAGTCAATTAAGGTGAGCTACAATATAAAATAATCCCTTTAGCATCCTCATTTCTCACAATTCGATTTCTTTATAGAAAGCCTTGATTGATGACAAGCCAAAGAGCTTTGCACACTGCGTGGAATGGGCTCGCTTCCACTGGGAAGATCAATATGCCAATCAAATCAAACAGCTGCTCTTCAATTTCCCACCCGATCAGGTCACCTCAAGTGGCCAACCTTTCTGGTCTGGACCTAAGCGCTGTCCCGAACCTCTTGTTTTCGATGTAAATGAACCGATGCACTTGGATTACATTTATGCGGCGGCCAATTTGCGAGCCGAAGTCTATGGTATACCCCAAGTGCGTGATCGCCAGAAGATAGCAGAGCTGGTGCAGCAGGTTAAGGTATGGAATCGATGAGCAGAGTTTCTAGAGAACATTACCATATATATATGTGTGTCTGTAACCCCTTGCAGGTGCCCGAATTTAAGCCTCGCTCTGGTGTTAAGATTGAGACAAATGAGGCGGCTGCCGCTGCAGCTGCCAACAATTTCGATGACGGCGAAGTGGATCAGGACCGCGTGGATAAGATCATATCGGAGTTGGTCAAGAACGCAGACAAGTCCTCGAAAATAACTCCGCTGGAGTTCGAGAAGGACGACGATAGCAATTTGCACATGGACTTCATTGTGGCCTGCTCCAATTTGCGTGCAACCAACTATAAGATCCCACCGGCCGATCGCCACAAGTCGAAGCTGATTGCTGGCAAGATTATTCCGGCCATAGCCACAACTACCTCTGTGCTATCCGGCCTGGCTGTGTTGGAGGTGATTAAGCTAATAGCCGGCCATCGTGATTTGCCCAAGTTTAAGAATGCATTCGCCAACTTGGCTTTGCCATTCCTGGCCTTCTCCGAGCCGCTGCCGGCGGCCAAGAATAAGTACTACGATAAGGAGTGGACACTGTGGGATCGCTTCGAGGTCACTGGGGAGATGTCGCTGCAGGAATTCCTCAACTACTTTGAAGAAAATGAGAAACTGAAGATCACCATGCTGTCACAGGGCGTCTCAATGCTCTATTCATTCTTTATGCCCAAGGCCAAGTGCGCTGAGCGCCTGCCCCTGCCCATGTCCGAAGTGGTGCGTCGCGTGTCTAAGCGGCGCATCGAACCCTATGAGCGTTCCTTGGTATTCGAGATATGCTGCAACGATGTCGACGGCGAGGATGTGGAGGTGCCCTACGTGCGTTACACGCTGCCCTAAGCCACGCTACGACCACAACCTACCCTAATCTTAATTGTAACAGTTAAATTATTATTTAAACAAAACAAGAGACACTTTTTTTTTGAGTTGTGCGCCTTACAAATTTTTACGGTATGTAGCAGGTTTGCATTTTAAAAAAAGATAAACCAGAACCAGACACACACAGAGACAAGAAAAGGATAACATGCATCTCCTAAGCGCGCACACACTAACACAACCACATATACGAACACTAACACACAAACACACACGAACTAATCGATATAGAAATTATATATTATGTATGTATGTGTAATCCTATAAGGAAATGGCAAATATTGAATTCGCGTTACACGAGAAATACAAAGACTCGACTTAAAAACAAAAACTTATGAAAAAGAGAAAGAAAAGAACGAAACAATAACAATTTAAAATAGTCTGCTCATAGGTTAAAAATCTCTTAAACATGCAGCACTGTTCGTTTTCTTTTTTTAAACATTTATTATAAAGAGTAACGTTAAAATAAAAATCAAATTGTATTAAAGGCGAAGCAACTGAATAAAGCTGTATATTTCGTATGGTAAGCGAGTCCTGGCTAATATCCTTTCTCAGTAAACTCATTTCGTTTGAGTAGCTTTTGCATAAAACCACACGCTTCCCTAGAGCTTTCTCAATTATCTCTGCAGCGCCCAATCTTGACGTTATCTCTATGGCACCCCCCACCTAACCCGTCGCCCCCTCGGCTCCATTCCCTTCAGTTACACTTCCATTATGTTTGTTGCTGCACTCGCTCGCAGTCAGTTAGTAAAAAGTTACGTGACACAATTAAATATTTTATGCCCCAAGACGTTTATGCCGTGTCGGTGGCAGCGGCTGCCACAAAAGTGCAATTGGCAAGTGCCAACCCCCGGCCAGCCTCGGCCCCACCTCGCCCTCTAACCTTCTCATCACTTCCATCGCCCACTAAAGTTGTGTGCTATAATTAAATATTACACGCAATGCAACTGAAGTATTGCAAAGTTATGCAGCTTCTCTGCTTGACTCTGCTCTGCTCAGCTGTACTCTGAAGTGCGGCCGGGCAAAGTTTTCCCTCAAATTATGCAGTTAATGAAACAAACTCCTGAGTGAAATACATCGCGTGGGCATCACGTCGACTGAGAGCTGGAAACTGCAAAACTGGAACTGGATACGCAGCTGTATGTTTCACATGTACGTTAATTAAATAATTCAACAAAACTTGACTTTTTCTAGCTTACCGTTTCTCTCTCTTTCTGCAGTTAACCTGGCTGAATGGCAATTTATGGGAAAAATTCGTGCTGACCAAGGCAATTTGATGAAGAGGCGACCTGGACTACAGCTAATGATAAATGCTATTTTAATATATTATATTCAATAACACAAACTGAAGACGTAGGCATTAGTTGAAGAATTGAGATTGCCCAGCAATATACATATATCTGAGGGAATCAACTAAATGAAAACTTAACTGACGGTTTTTGTTATATAAATACCGTTCAGTTGTCAATATTGTTATTAATTTTATCAATTATATATATTTTGAAAAAGAACTGACCAGGCACAAACTGTCTCTAAAAGAAGTCTACAAGAAATTTGTTTGAAAAAAAAAATGTGTGGGATTTAGCCGAAATAGTGGGAGCTGGACGAAGCAATACGAATCCATAATTAAAGAATGAAGGCCAAGAGAAACCAGTTTAGTCCATTTTGTCAATTTACTCATATATTGGCTATATTTGCACCAGACCTTAAAGGACACCTTAGTCAAATTGAAATATGTATAATTTGGAGACTCAAGCTCTAAAGATGTAAATCATATAATTTTATAATTTATATAAAATATGATATAAATCTCAATCTTTATTAGTTTTTGAGATCGATTAAAAATGTAAAAATATACATTATGGTGAATGGCACGCCTACTTCTGCCTGTCACATAGATGTTAGCACAGTCATTATAGCTATAATTATAATTGTTATTTTTGATCTCTAATGAGACCATTAGTATTAAAATTTTATTATTATATATA